TAACCTTTGACTGTGTAGATCACAACAAACTGTGGAAAATTCTTAAGGAGATGGGAATACCAGACCACCCTATCTGCCTCCTGAGAAATCTTTACGCAGGTGAAGGAGCAACAGTTAGAACTGGACATGGAACAGCAGAGTGATTCCATATCAGGAAAGGAGTATGTCAAGGTTGTATATTGTCATTCTGCTAATTTAACTTATGTGCAGAGTACCTCATGTGAAATGCTGGCCTGGATGAAGCACAAGTTGGAATCAAGATTGCCAGGAGAAATATCAATAACCTCAGATATGCAGATGACCCCACCCTTATGGCAGAAAGTGAAGATGAACTGAAGACCCTCTTGATGAAAGAGGAGAGTGAAAAAGCTGGCTTAAAACTCAACATTAAAAATACTAAGATCATGGCATCCGGTCCCATCACTTCATGGCAAATAGATGGGAAACAATGGAAATAGTGACAGACTTTATTTTCTTAAGCTCCAAAATCACTGCAGATGGTGACTGCAGCCACGAAATTAAAAGATGTTTGCTCATTGGAAGAAATGCTATGACCAACCTAGACAGCATATTAAAAAGCAGAGATGTTACTTTGCTGACAAAGGCCTGTCTAGTCAAAGCTATGGTTTTTCCAGTAGTTGTTTGTGAATGTGAGAGCTGGACCATAAAGAAAGCTGAGTGCCAAAGAATTGATACTTTTCAAATGTGGTGTTGTAGAAGACTCTTTTGAGAGTTCCTTGTGCTGCAAGGAGATCAAACCAGTCAATCCTAAAGGAGTCCTGAATATTCATTGGAAGGACTGATACTGAAACTCCAATACTTTGGCCACCTGATGTGAAGAACTGACTCATTGGAAAAGACTGGGAAAGATTGAAGGAAGGCAGGAGGAGAAGGGGATGCCAGAGGATGAGCTGGTTGGATGGCATTACCGACTTGATGGACATGAGTTTGAACAAGCTCTGGGAGTTGGTGAAGGACTGGGAAACTTGGCGTGCTGCAGTCCTTGGGGTCTCAAAGAGTTGGACAGGGCTGAGTGACTTAACTGACTCATGTTAAACCTAAAACATAAGTTTTTTTCACTGTCACCATTTAAAAATCAGTGAGTCTTTCAGCTGTTTCAGAAAAATGAATGGAGTGGCCTTAATACTGGGCTTATAGTTCCACATGGCAAAAGTCTGCTGGGGCTCTGTAATGTCTGCTTGCCTGTCTTTCTAACACAGATGTGGGCTGGCTGGCTAGCCCTTGCCTCCACTTTTCCTTACTGAGTTTACTTCCAGCTTGACCCAGACTCACTTGAGTAATGCTGTTTCATAAAACAGTTTTCATTGTATTAATTTGATCCTTGTAGAGCCTTTTGTCTCATATTACTCTATTTTGTTTTTTATTGGAATATGATGGCTTTACCGTGTTTTGTTTCTGCTGTACACCATCATGAATCAGCGATATGGAGACATACATCCCCTTTCTGGAGACCCTCCCTCCCATTTCCGCCATCCCAGCCCTCTAGGTCGTCACAGAGTACCAGGCTGGGCCCCTGTGTCAGACAGCGGCTTCCCACCAGCTATCTGCTTTACCTGTGGTGGTGTATATATTTCAGTGCCCCGCTCTCTCCTGCCTCATCTGTCTCCACAGGTCTTTTCTCTATGTCTGCACCTCTGTTCCTGCCCTGCAAACGGGTTCATCAATATTTATTTTTCTAGCTTTCAGATATATGTGTTCATATGCAATATTTGTTTTTCTGACTTACTTCACTCTGTATCACTTCCACTGACTCAATTTTGTTCCCTTTTATGGCGGATTTATATTTGTGTGTGTGTATATATGTGTGTGTGTGTATATATATACATTTACGTGTATGTATGTATAAATCCATATGTGTTATGTGCATCCTATGTTGCAAAGTTGAAGAAAAGATTCTGTTCTTTATTGAATGCTAGTTGAACACAGCCCCTTTTAAAATTCATAATTAAGTGCCCAAAGTCACATGAGTACAAAAAAACAGAATATTCTATAGTGACGCTGAGAAAAAAATGCAAGGAGAGACAATTATTTGAGTCTTAACATTCAAAAAGAAAACACAGCAACATTTGTATAGTATCATACCAAAGATGAACAAATGTATTTTCACTCAAATTGGTGGGCGTGATGTTGTTTCTTGGCTAGATTCTTTCTTCACAGAGGCTTGATAGCACCATTTTCTTTCATTCCAGACTTAACCCACGTCCTCATTTACATACCCCACTATTTCTGCATGTGCTGGGTGTTTTGACTGCTGACTGTAGCATCGTTGCTTCCTTTGTCCCCTCCTGTGATTCAGATGAAATCAAAGGAGTAAACACGTTTTCAGTATTCTCTGAATACTAATCTGCAAAGATAGTAAGCATTTTTAACCACATGATGTTGTGTTGCCACGTACTTGTGGTCAGTGCAGCCGTGTTGCCTCCATTCCTGCCTGGTTTTCAGCCTGAGAAGCTGATGCTCAGAGAAGGCTGCGACCCCCGGGGGCAGAGCCACAGGCTCATAGTGGCCACTGGAACCTGCGTCTTCCGACACCTAATCCAGTGCACACTCTGCAGTATGAACTTTTAAAAATAGTGGAGATTTTTAGAGTAGTGGCCATATGTTCCATTTAGTTTATTTTCTGTTAGTCGTTAAAATCACTCAGGAAGTGCGTCATCATAAAAAGCAGAAAAGAGGGAGTAACCATGTAATATTAATGCCTTAAGTGTAAAAAAAAAAGTTGTAAATTAAACCTAAGGCATAAAGAGAAAAAGTGCTTCCGTTTCAGTGAAAGTTTGACCATTCTCATGTATAGGTGAATGGTAGGATTACAGAATTTTAGGATTGGCTCTAAGAATGAACTAGGACAAAACTGAATTCTGATACTTTTAAAAAAATATTTTAGGTTTTATGGCAGTATTATTTTTTTTTTGGCCACACCACACACGGGCATGTGTGGGCCATGTGGGGTGTTGGCTCCCAGACCGGGGATGGAAGCCGCACCCACTGCTGTGGAAGTGTGGAGTCCTACCTAACCACTGGACCTCCAAGGAAGTCCCCTGATCTTTTAAAGAGAAAAACTAAGGTTTTATATTGTTCAGTGTTTTGTTTTGTTTTTGCCCTTGAAGATGTGCGGCTAGTTGCTAATTAAACTTGGAGTAGAAATGAGAAGTATCAGTTCTGAGTCTGTGTCTGCGTCGTCAGTGTGGGGGTTAATTGAGCCTTTAGGTGAGCTGGCAGAGGTTCATTCCCAGTGTGTCCCGTGGGCTGAAAAAATGATAATAAATGCGGAGAAATACAACTTTTGTGCTTTTTTTACCCCTTTTGCTTAATAGGAAGATGATGCCAGAAAAAGCTGGGACAGTTCATTATTTTTGACTTTATAAAATAGAAGCTGGAAAATAGGGAACGTTCCTTTCTAGGAGGCCTTGGAGAGCTGGGGAGAGTTTGAAGTTAACAGAAACATTTTGACACCAGGAGAACATCATGTGAGCTCACTGGTGCTCAGAAATGTTTCTGAAAAATCTACTTATGTTGGCAGGCAGTTTTGGGGGAGGTTGTCTCCACCGTATTAAAAAAATTGGTTCCTTGTTTTCTCTCAAAGCTACTCTAGCAAAAGGAAAACAAATACTGTTTCTTGGCAGTGCCTGGGAAATGTCTGTAATGTTAACCAAAGGATCTCAGTAGAAGTATGTCAGTATAATTGCAGGCCTTGTGGACCTATTGATAAATATTCTAGATAGTGTTATAGAAATCACTGCTGAAATTTGGGTAAGTAGTTGACATTTCTGGTCAGAGATTTTCTTGTTATATTTATATTAGACAATTAGGGAAGGTTTTTCTCCCCCAAGATGTGTTTTTCTTCCCACTCCTCCTAATGACGATTATAAATAATTTTTAAGCATAGATCAAAACTTACTCAGTTTAACGTGAATTCCATTTCTATGGCAAAATCTGTAGCAAGTTTGCTTTTTTAAGCTTTATGGTCCTATGTTTTCATCCTAAATTTAAAAAAAAAATTTTTATTATTTTTTTCCATTTATTTTTATTAGTTGGAGGCTAATTACTTTACAATATTGTAGTGATTTTTGCCATACATTGACATGAATCAGCCATGGATTTACATGTATTCCCCATCCCGATCCCCCCTCCCACCTCCCTCTCCACCCGATCCCTCTGGGTCTTCCCAGTGCACCATGTCCGAGCACTTGTCTCATGCATCCAACCTGGGCTGGTGATCTGTTTCACCCTAGATAATATACATGTTCGATGCTGATCTCTCGAAACATCCCACCCTCGCCTTCTCCCACAGAGTCTAAAAGTCTGTTCTGTACATCTGTGTCTCTTTTTCTGTTTTGCATATAGGGTTATCATTACCATCTTTCTAAATTCCATATATATGTGTTAGTATACTATATTGGTGTTTATCTTTCTGGCTTTCTTCACTCTGTATAATGGGCTCCAGTTTCATCCATCTCATTAGAACTGATTCAAGTGAATTCTTTTTAATAGCTGAGTAATATTCCATGGTGTATATGTACCACAGCTTCCTCATCCATTCGTCTGCTGATGGACATCTAGGTTGTTTCCATGTCCTGGCTATTGTAAACAGTGCTGCGATGAACATTGGGGTGCACGTGTCTCTTTCAGATCTGGTTTCCTCGGTGTGTATGCCCAGAATTTTTTTTTTTAATGGACAAGTGAATGGCATTAATTCCAAACACTGATAGGTATGAGGGGTTAAAAATAACAGGCTAGGTAAAAAGTTCATTAAAGGAAAAATCAAAAAGATAAGTGACTCTTCAGTCCTAATGCTGTCTTGATGATTAATAAATAGTGGCCTGACTGCAGATAGGTTTTCCAGATAACTTTTTCACACTTCATGGTACTTTCTTTTATTTTTGGATATTTTTCATATTTTGAGCTTCCCAGTCGATTGACTGTGTATATGCCTTTCCCCTCTGTTTAATCATACTTGTCTGTGTTTTTCTTGTTTGTAGGAAGAAAAAAAGAAGTTTGACAAAGAGACTGAAAGGAACTATAGCCTAATTGATAAACATTTGAATTTATCAGCAAAAAAGAAAGACTCACATTTGCAAGAGGTATTGTTTTTATTTTTCTTTTAACTTGTTTGTAAAATTTAATAATCAGTGCATGTCTCTTTTTAAATGAGCTTTTCTTTTGAAAATGTTTTATCTAGGTTTATTAGAGATGGAAAAAATGATTAGGTATCGCCATGAATTTTAAAAAAAAAAGCTCTTTTGGAATAAGACAAAATAAGACCTTATAGAGTGATTAATGCAGTGTGGGTTCAGAATATTAGAAGTTTTGGTTCTGAGTGTATTTTCCCAGGAACAACCATTTTAACTAGCATAACTGAGGATAGATATATTATTTTCAGGAATAGATTATTAATTAACTTTCAAAATGTGTTGTAAAAGTGAATTGAATAAGCTCCTATACCATTTGGCTTTTATGTGAAGGCAGCATTAATCTTACCTAATGCTGAAGATTCAGGAGTTTTTCAGCTTCTTTGGAAAGAGAGCATCTGTTTTACTTGTGTTAATAGACTTGTTTCTTTTGGAGGGAGCCGTATGTAAGGAGAAAGGAATTTATATCTTCTCTCTCGTTTTTCTCTTTCTGTTTTCTTTCTAAATTCCCTGCCACTTGTTTTTCCTCACTCACACCCTTGAATGGAAACTCAGTTGTTTACAATTTGGAACATATGCTTTCCTTAAACATAATGCTATTTTCAATTGTAAAGATCTTGATTTATCCCACAGAAGTGTGACTTCTTCCCCGTGTATTTGTTTATTTTTAAACACATAAGGGATCCAGGCGTAATGTACCACTATAATATACACTTAGTGAAGTATCATCAAAATGACAATGTTGTAGAGTAAACCTGGGTTGTGTTTAAATGTTACAGATTTAGTTGCAAACTCTTGTGTGTATGTGTGTGGTTATTTTGGCATTAACCACATGGCGCATCTTCTTTTGTCTGTCTAATGTGATTGGCTGATGTTTACGTGGTGTTTGATGGTCTGTAAAAGAGAAAGGCCCTTTTGTACCATCTAATCCTGACTACAATACTATCCGAAGGCAGGGCTGCATTCTCTCCTTTGCCATATTGTGCAGAAAGCCCTGCAGTTGTTACATGTGCTCCGTCAGCTCCTCCCCCTGTCAGTTTTGGAGCGACAGCAGCAGAGGCTCTCTTTATGTCGGCAGTTTCCCACTTCCTGTTCTACTTGATCTCTGTTGCCAGGTATCCTGATGGGATTTCCATGCCCTGAGTCAATTTCCATCTCCATCTCACTCTCTAATTAGATATCATTCTGCCTGTTGCTAGGGCAAAGTCTGTAGCGTCATCCTTGGCCCTTTCTCTCTCAGCCCGTCTAGACCCTCAGCCTAGGTCTTCTTCGACTTTAGGATATTCTCAGAATGTGGCCAGTTCTCCTAGCCTGCAATCCTGTCACCCTGGCCCAAGTGCTGGGCGTTTCTCACACAAATGGCTACAGAAGCCTCCCTGCTTTTTACTCAGAGATCCCTACAGTTTATTTTCTTTCTCAAATTATTTTCATTCATTTATGCATGTGTGCATGCAGCTTTCCCATGGTGAGGACTGTAAAGAATCTGCCTCCAGTGCAGGAGACCCGGGTTGGATCCCTGGGTCTTGAAGATCCCCTGCAGAAGGGAATGGCCCCCCAGTCCAGTATTCTTGCCTGGGAAATCCCATGGACAGAGGAGCCTGGGTGGGCTACAGTCCTGGGGTCTCAGGGAGTCAGACATGACTGAGTGACTAACACTTTCATGCGTACGTGCATGCCTGTCACTCTGTGTCGTGATGACACAGGGATTGAACCCATGTCCCCTGCACTGGGAACACGGACTCTCAACCACTGGACTGCGAGGGAAGTCCTCCTACGGCTTAATTTCTGTATGGCAGCGGAGCCAGCCTTTGTGTTGCTCTTCTTCTCCAGATGCTCCTGGAGGCTCCCTTCAGAGGCCCCCAGTCCACTCCGCCTTCTCCCACCCCACATGGCGGCCTCATCCTGGCGTGGCTCCATGGCTGAGGGCCTTGGTGTTCCTCCTCTGCCAGATCCGCGTGACTCACTCCTGCACATAGTCTTCCAGATGGTCTGCTCTCAGACTTCCCCCGGGTGGAGATGTTTGATCTTATTTAGGGTGCCTGCCTTACTCTGCCTTTTTTTTTTGCTCTTACAACCATTTGACTCGTTACATATTCAGAGGTGGGCTTTCCAGGTGGTGCAGTCATAAAGAATCCGCCTGGAAATGCAGGAGGCACAAGAGACAGGCTCGATCCCTCGGTCAGGACGGTCCCCTGGAGCAGGAAGTGGCGACCAGCTCTGTTATCCTTGCCTAGAAAACCCCATGGACCGAGGAGCCTGGTGGGCTACAGTCCGTGGGGCTACCGAGGATTGGACACGACTGAGCACACGCAGTGTACAGTATACACTCGGTGGTTTCCTGGCTTCTCTCTGTAGGATGTCCGCTCCTTTCAGGCAGCAGCGTCGTTCTCTTCAACACTCTGTCCACAGTGCCTAGAATAAGACCTGTCAGGGAGCAGGCACTAATAAATATTTATGGAATGAACAAGTGTGAAGATTATGAGCTAGACCTTCAACAATTTCATCATTTCCAAAGATAATTAAACATTAGGTTGCAAATTTGAAGAGACCCTCAAGATGAATCATTTTAGTTTTCACTTAAATTATATATTTCTGGGTCTTCTCTGGTGGTCCATGGTTAAAAGACTCTATGCTCTCAATGCAGGGGGCATGGGTTCCATCCCTGGTTGGGTATCTTAAGATCCCACATGCCAAGTGGCATGACCAAAAGATTTAAAAAATTTGCATTTTCTCTCCTGTCTTGATCTGTGTGCTCTTTACAAATATGCAGAACCCCACTTGACCGAGCTTTCTGTTGCAAGAGTGAATGCCTTAAGGATGGGGATGCTCCTTAAAGGAAAGAAGGTTAGATGTGGCTTTGGCCACTTCTGGCAGTGGCTAATGCATTGCTGATCTTCAGTAAATTGAGTTGAGGTGCTTGAGAGATTAATAAAGGTTGCTGAGAGTGGTACTGAACAAAGGTGTATGTCCTTGTTATCAGCTATTCTTTCCTCTGGTTTCCAGTGAAAATCACAGGACAAAATTGTGGCAGACAGCAGGCTGGCAATTTTGGTAATTCTATTAGGACCTTTACCTTTCACTCTGTATTTTCACTCTGTATTAGCTTCTGCCTCCATCACACCCCGAATTCCCAATATTAATATTTGTACTAGAACAGTAATCGGATATTTGAGAAAATTCTACGACTGCTGATATTTGAAGTATATTTTTGTTTCCCTATGGCAGCTAAAAATTAGCACTTGCCATCTGCCTCTACAGATTAAATTCACTAGTCAACCTCTGAGGACCTGCTCCCAGACTATATTCTGCGTTGTGCCCCCAATAAAACTTGACTCACAGCTCTCATGTTGTGCATTTTTTTTTTCCAGTTGATGCTGAGTAGTCAAATAATTATATTTCCATAAGTATGGCCAGAGAAATAGATCCCTTGAAGATCTTTGTGTGAGTGATCTGTTCCTGTATGCATATTTACAGCAGGCATGGTCAGAAGTGAAATTGATAATCAATTTGAAGTTATATGTTTAAAAAAATGACTTTTGCTTGGTATAAAGTATAGTCCAGTTGTGTATTTTTCAATGCCACCAAGCAGTGAACTCAGTTCTGGCACTACCTGGAAATAGCATCAGATCCTGCAGGCTAAGGGCTCAGTCCTACAAGATTGCCCTGCTAATGACTGGCAGATGCAAACTATTATATATAGAATGGATAAACAGCAAGGCCCTATTCAGTATCCAGTAATAAACCATAATGGAAAAGAATTTATATGTATAGCCAAGTCACTTTGTTGTACAGCAGAAGCTAACACATTGTAAATCAACTGTACATCAATTAAAAAAGAAGACCAAAACAAAAACAAAATAGAAAAAAAAAAAAGAAGACCACCCCACTTCTAACACCAAGTCCTGGTGTGCTTCTGATTAACTGACTACAAAGAAAAGGTTCCTGTGACCCCTTCCTTGGGTTTGGTTGATTTGCTAGGGCAATTCACAGAACTAGGAAACATTTACTTAAGTTTACCAGCTTATTATACAAGGTAATCTAGAGGAGTCAGGTGAGCAGCGGAGATGAAGAGGTGCACGGGACTGGGTCCAGAAGGGTCCCAAGTGCAGAAATTTCTGACCCCGTGGAGCTGGGGTGTGTCACTCTTCAGGCAAGTGGATGGATTTACTCATGACCTGAAATAAATAGTCTGTCAGATATTTCTCCAGTAAAGATGGGTGTATTCAGGATCAGAAGAGAGAGGCTGTTTGGGGCCTTGCAGCCATAGTGAGCCAAGGGCAAGTTCCCACATGACCCGTGAAGGAGCCCCCCTTGATTGGGAGGGACAGGGAGTTGGGAGGCTCTATAACAGAGGCCATGGCTTTTCTTGGGCTGAGTCCTGGCCAGGAAAGAAGAGTCCTCTTCCCTCTCTCTCTCGGGGTCTGTTGTCCTCGGAAGCCACGAGTGCTCCCAGCTCTGTTTAGTTGAGTTTTCTGTTTACTGATTTTTTTACATCAGTGCTTCCCCCTTCCTGAAGGCCAGTGGGTGGGGCCAAGGTTCTGACCTTCTAATCAGTGCAGCCTTGGGCCGCCCCTCGCCCCCCAAGTCACCTTATTAGCGCAAACAGCAGTGTTCTCACTCGGGGCTCCTTTCAAATGACAGCAGACACTTCCCTCAGGCAGGAAATGCCAAGGGTTTTAGGAGATTTGTGCCAGGACCCTGGGGCAAAGACCAAATACATTGCTTCTTACACCACTTATATAGTGATTGCCTTTTAGACGGAGTCGAGCTAAAGGACTGTGCTGCTGGGTGTAATCTGGATGTCTGTGATGGTGGTGTAAATGATGGGTTACCTACAGTCCCAGGGATTCTGGTGATAAGGTCTCTCTGTGCCTGGCACGGCAGTTCTCAACACTCAGAACATCAGGAGGCTGTGAATGGAATCTGAGCAGCAATGCAGAAGCACGGCCAGGAGAGAGAGTCCACTCAAAAATGAAAACGGCCTTGGTAAATCCGATCCAGGTGAAATTTTCTTGAAAGGCATTTCCCATTAACAATAACATGAAAGATTCACCCTTAAATTCCCCATAGCTCCGGTTTAGTAAATACTTAACACACTTGGCATTGTTTTTCCTGGGAGTTGTGCTTGTTAACTGCTGGTGGCCGAGCTCAATCTCTGGTCATTAGAGGCATAAAAAAAAACAACATGACTTCTATGAGTATTAGGGAGAAAATTTGGCTTAATAAGAAACATTTTGACTTAGTTATGTTGACGAGACAAGTAGTCGCGATCTGAAAGTAGAGTTCTTTTTTGGGTGGAAATTATGAGGATTTCCAGCAAGGAGAGAGCATCTCAGAGTGACCCCGAGAGACTGCTCTGAGGAGGCGGGGAAAGGAGTCAGGATATATAGAAGTTTGTAGCAAGGTGGGAGCGGCAGGAGGCAGTCTGTTAATTAAGGGAAGCCAGATATCTCAAGGAATTTACCATTCTTATATATATGTTTTTGTTCAGTTGCTAAGCTGTATCCAACTTTTTGCAACCCCATGGAATGCAGCAAGCCAGGCTTCCCTGTCCTTTACCATCTCCCAGAGCTTGTTCAAACTCATGTCCATTGAGTTGGTGATGCTGTCAAACCATCTCGTCCTCTGTCACCCCCTTCTCCTCCCGCCTTCGATCTTTCCTAGCATCAGGGTGTTTTCTGATGAATCTGCTTTTCACATCAGGCGGCCAAAGTATTGGAGTTTCAGCTTCAGCAGCAATCCTTCCAATGAATATTCAGGGTTGATTTCCTTTAGGATTGACTGGTTTGATCTCCTTGCAGTCCAAGGGACTCTCAAGAACTTCTCTATCATTACAGATCACATGGATCACAGGCTTGTCTTCTATGTATGGGAAGATGCAAGTGTCTGCATTCATTGAATTCATTCCTTTCATGTACATCTCAGCTATCTGGGGCCAAATCCTGCTTCCTGATTGTTCACATCCTTAGTGTTTGCTGTGTGTGTGTGTTACTCACTCAGTTGTGTCCAACTCTTTACGACTCCATGAACTGTAGCCTGCGAAGCTCCTCTATCCATGGAATTCTCCAGGCGAGAATACTGGAGTGGGATGCCATTCCCTTCATTACCTTCTCCAGGGGATGTTTACCATTAGAGGTGGAGAATGTGGCGGATGGCTGCCTCCTGTGCTTTCTTGGCATCCCCCCAAGCTCCTCAGCACACTTACCTGATGGCTGGTGCATAGCTGGTATTGTTTTCCTGGGCTCAGAAATTTACATTTGAAAGGCTCATGTTTACACATACAGCAGAAAATATTTCATTTCACAGTAAGAAGCATTTATTATATTTAAACATTAATTAAAAAATGATATGATGCCAAAAAATTATTACCTGTTGCCTTTTTTCCCCCAAACTTAAATTTTTGTTGTGGTAAAATACAGCAGGTGAGGTGAAAGTCGTTCCGTCGTGTCTGACTCTTTGTGACCCCATGGACTGTACAGTCCGTGGAATACTCCAGGCCAGAGGGTAGCCTTTCCCTTGTCCAGGGGATCTTCCCAACCCAGGGATCGAACCTGGGTCTCCTGCATTGCAGGCGATTCTTCACCAGCTGAGCCACAGGGGAAGCCCAAAATATAGCAAGATACGATTTTAACTATGTTCAAGGATACAGTGTGTTCATTGTCAGCAAATACAGTCATGTGGTTGTGCAGCCACCCCAAGTTCCAACTCCGAAAGGCTTAGATACTGAAACTCTGTACTTCCTGTTAAACTAACTCCCCAGCCCTCTTCCCTCCAGCTCCTAACCATCATTCTACTTCCTGTCTCTGTGAATTTCACTCTTCCAGATACCTCATGGAAGAGGAATCACATGGCACCTCTCCTTTTGTGATTGGCTCATTTCATTTAGCATTGTTGACTAAAATAAATGTATTATGTTGTGAGTTGAGGGTTGTGAGAAAGTTTTATTTGGGGCAAAATGAGGACTATAGCCTGGGAGACAGCATTTCCGATAGCTCTAAGAAACTGCTCCAAAGTGGTGGAGGGAAGGTCAGTATGTGTGTGATTTTGTTGAAGGGGGCGTGCGTACATTGAAGCATTTATTTTTTTTTTTGTGGAAGGTTTCTGGTAGTTTTGTGAGGATGACTGCTAGTCACGAGGAGCAGACATCTCCGTGAAGGATTTTAGTGCTTTTCTAGATAGGAAGAGATGTAAGAATTGGGCTCTATATAAGAATCAGTATAAGAATATGTATATAAGAATATATAAGAATCAATATAAGAATCAGCTCCTGAAAATATGTAGCTATCTGAAGACCTGTCCTTCCAGTTTTTCTCAGAGCACAGAGTGCTTCATTTCTGCTCTCCACCCTGAACTCCTTTTCAGGGGGTTTTGAAGGTCAGCGGCTATAGCAGCTCATGATTTAGTCCTTGTAGAGGAACACGGCAAGTGCCAGTATGTAGTTGACATCTTAATGTCCTCAGGCTTCATCCGTGTTGAGACAGGTGCCAGAATTTCCTTCCAGTCTGAGGCTGAATAATATTCCATTATTTGTGTAGACCAGATTTTGATGATCCCTTCGTCTGTCGGTGGGCACTTTGGTTATTTCTGCCATTTAGCTGCTGTCAGTGTGGGTGAGCAAGTATCTGTTTTGAGTCCCTGCTTGCAGTTCTTGTGAGTGTATACCCCAAAATGGAATTGTTAAGATCATATGGTCATTCTATTTTTAATTTTTTTTGTTAGAGAACTGCCATACTGTTTTCCGTAGCAGCTGAATCATTTTGCGTTCACGTCAGCAGTGTACAAAGTTCCAGTTTCTCTACATCTTCACCAGTTCTTTTTGTTTTCTGTTTTGTTCTGGGGGTAGATTTGTTCTTGTTTGTTTTGTTTTTGGTAAGTGTGAGGTGCTACCTTGTGGTTTTGATTTGTATTTCCCTGATGGTGAGTGATGTTGAGCATCTTTCCATGTGTTTAGATATGGCCTCTTTGGAGAAATGTCCAGGTGAAAACTACATGATGCCTCATAGGAACCGTTCTGAGGGCCGGGGTTTTCCCTACCATTCCTCTGTGGAGCCATCTCCTCTCCCAGTGCCTTTCTAGTTAGACAAGAGAACCTTTGTTTGGAATAGTCTCCTGGCCATCTGCTGCCTGCTCGCTTCCAAGGGATGGGCATGTTGATGGCTTAGGAGCGTGACTACCTGCAGATGGGCGCCAAGCCCAGCCTTGTCTGGGAGCCAGGTTCTTGCAGTGGGGCTGTTGCCACTTCTTCACCTGCTGTTTTCACTCAGGAGTGCTGTGGCGACTGGAATCTGTTCAGTCCGCCTTCCCAGGCCACTCCATTCTTAGGTGGTTCGTTAATGGAAACACTGTTTGTGCAGTTCGGAGTCTGTGTATGGTTCCAGCTCGCGTGTCAGTTGTGGTTGGGGTAGGTTTCTCGTTAACAAGACTGCGTGATGTTTGGTCCTTAGGGGTCAGCCTCATCACAGAGATGAGCAGGGGTTGGCAGACTACTTCTGCAGACAGTCAGATACTAAGTATTTTACAGTTTTGAAGACCGCGAGGTCGCCTCTTGGGACAACTCAGTCCAGCCGTGGTAGCAGGGCAGCCTACATAGAGGATACGTGATGGAGTGGTCTCTGTGTCCAGCAGAGCCTCATTTAGGAGAACAGGCAGCTGGCCGTTTGGCCCACAGATGGGAGCTTTGCAGACCTCAGATAGAGAGTTTCACATTGCACCATCTCTAATCTCACCACCTCCTTTGTTTTAACACAGGCAGATATCCAAGTGGAACAGAACCGGCAACACTTTTACGAACTGTCTCTTGAATATGTGTGTAAGCTTCAGGAAATCCAAGAAAGGAAGAAGTTTGAGTTTGTGGAACCCGTAAGTATAAACAGCAGGTTTCTCTGTGAGTCGAACGTTGTGATAGAGAATAGGAATCTGTTTCTTTCAAGGTCTCAGTTATGGTTGCTACAGGCCGTGATGCATAAACATAACACAAGGTGTCGTAAATTGTACACAGCGCACCCAGGTCGCTGTGGAGTCTAAATCCCACCGCTGAGTAGCAGTCCTCAGCCTTCTTTGCACAGCAGTGTGGAATGAGTGTTATCCCTTTGCTACGTGGCCTCAAGGACTCTGCAGTTAGGTGCAGCTTCTTCCATCCTAGTTGTAACTCCACTCTTAACAAGAATTCCCATGAAATTATTGGAATGTGAGTGAGCGTGGGCGTGTTTATGGGATAATCTTTATTCTATTTAAGTCTGTTTCTAAAGCAAGTGCATCCATCCAAACCTTGGTACTTTCAACAATGACTGGTAATTCTACTACAATTCACAATGCTTAGGCAATAGCTCGGTAACGAATCCGCCTGCAGTGCAGAAGACCCCAGTTCAGTTCCTGGGTCAGGAAGAGCCCCTGGAGAAGGGATCGGCTACCCACTCAGTGTTCTTGGGCTCCCCGTGTGGCTCAGCTGGTAAAGAATCCGCCTGCAATGCGGGAGACCTGGGTTCAAAACCTGGGTTGGGAAGATCTGATCCCCTGGAGAAGGGAAAGGCTACCCCCACTCCAGTATTCTGGCTTGGAGAATTCCATGGACTGTATAGTCCATGGGGTCACAAAGAATCAGATACGACTGAGTGACTTTCACTTTCACGTAACCTAAATTAAGAGCCAGTATGCAGAACATTTGAAACTACTTTGTCAGTTACTCTGACATTCTTTACACTTACTTTAGAAACACGTGATTTTCATTGGTGCTTATGTAGGTGTACTCTGAGAGCTTCACTTATTTTTATGTTAATATATCTATGAATATATGTATCTTTTGAATCAAAACAAAGGATATTTCATACTGTGGGTTTTAGCGAAAAAAACACAGCTATACACTGAGATCCATGATTCTCAAGAGTCACTTTAATTTCAATATATGCTATAGTGCATGTGATTAAAAAAAAAAAACTACTGAGGTATAATTCACATGCCATAGAGTTTATCTATTGTATGTATGATATTCAGAAACAAACTGAAAAACCAAGTAATTGTTAATGAAAAATTAGCATTAGTGGAAGTGATGGTCCAGTGGAGTAATGGAATTACCCTAAGTTAAACCGAGAACACCTCCTTCAAGCTTTCTTTTTATGAGAAATCATAACAGCCTACTTTTTTTTTTGTGAACATTTACAGTGCTCTGTCGTCGTTTAGGTCATTTTCTGTGATCATGCATGGATTCCACACAGCACTCTATTAAGGAGATATTTTAATTATGCCACTTAGGGGATGTAGACATTGAAGTAGAGAAATGTCAGTAGTTGGCCCCGGTGGGGAATTGACCTCTGCCAGCCACTGGACATCAGGGTCCCAAATTCCTCAGCACTACACAATGTGACATTCTGAAGACAGTGGATTCCAGCATTTCCTGAACTCTCACCTGAGGTCATTCTCACTGTAGATTTGCTCACATGTGGAGCAGAGGCGGCTGCCCTCTGGTCGAGAGGCTGGGGGAGTTTGTAGGAAGCTCGGGGTTTGATTACTGCCCTCCCTCTGGCCTCTCTGCCTCAGTCACGGAGCATCTTTGTCAACGAAAGCGAGGGTGCCCCACAGTGGGTGCCCTTTGAAAGAGCTTTTAACTCTGATCTGTATTTCACTTTCCTTTTAGGTTCTATCGGCCTGTAGTGATGAGGTTTCATTTTAAATGAATATAGGGATTCTCTTGACTAAAAAGGACAAATGGGGGCTTCTCTGCTGGCTCAGCGCTGAATAATGCACCTGCTAATGCAGGAGACCCGGGTTCGATCCCTGGTCTGGGAATGTCCTGCATGCCGTGGAGCAGTGAAGCCTGCGGGCCACAACTGTTGAGCCTGTGCTCCAGAGCCCGGGGTCTGCAACGGCTGAGCCCACGTGCTGCTGCTACTGAAGCCCGTGCACTCAACCTGTGCCCGGGACGAGAGAAGCCTACACCCCACAGCCAGAGAGCCGTCCACACTTATTGCAACCAGAGAGACGCCCCCGCAGCAACGAAGAACCAGTGTGGCCACAAATAATTTTTTTTTTTTTTTTTTAAGAAAAAGGACAAATGGGTGATGGAGAATTCCATTTCTTCCTTATAGCATACTATAATGGCTCTGCTATTGAGGGGAAAATAGCAGATCCTTCATTCTTTTTTAAATAGGGAGCAATTAATGAATAAAATGCAGTTAGATTTAGTTGAATTCTAGTGACTTCCTTTGAATTATTTTACATTAATAGAATCATAATGGGATGTGGGGAAACATGTGGCTGTTTTATTTTTTTCCCTGAGGGTTTTGTGTGTGTGTGTGCGCGCGCGCTAATGTTGCCTTTTCTGCTTTGTTTCAGATGCTGTCATTTTTTCAGGGAATGTTTACTTTCTATCATCAGGGCCATGAACTTGCCAAAGACTTCAATCACTACAAAATGGAACTGCAGATCAACATTCAGAATGTAAGGAAATGAAAGCTCTCTCTTTTTAAAAAAAGACGTTTGAGAAGTAGTTTTGATTTCTTTGGTGTATGCAAAGCCTTAAGAGCAGGCTGGTGTGTTGGTACCTGGAAACTGAGGCTGCGCTGCCACCTTCCGGTCAGTTCTCAGTATAGCAGCTGCTTGCCAACTCATGGAGGCTCAGGACACTGTCCCCTGGCGGCTGCTTTTTTAAAAGACGAATTCATTTTCTATCATTTATTTTTCTTATTTTCCAAAAAGTCATGATGTTGTTATCATAAAATTTCACATAATTTGCTTAATTTTCCCCAAATTTTCTTGAGATATAATTGACACACAACACTGTATAAGCAGAACAGCTTGACAACTTACTAACTGTAAGATGATTTCCACTTTAGTTAACATCAGTCACCTCCTGTAGTTAAATTTTTTTCCCCCTTGTGACGATAACATTGAATGCCTACTCTCTTAGCAACTTTGAAACATGTCATATGGTGATGTGACCTAGTCATTCTACACTTTGTAAGATGGTTCTAAGGATAACTTTTGTTGTGTAATTCTAAGTTTGATCTGTATGAGAGACAAAACAGCCTTTCAGTTTCGATTTAAGGCATTTCAATTGTATTCTAAATTTCTTCTCTTCCTTGTATGACTTATTTGACTTTTATTCCCACATAGGCTCACAGTTCCAGTGGAATTTCTTTCCCGTCTTTTGTGCATATTCACTAATATATTGGTGTTCATTGAATATTTGTCCTTTATTGTTCTCGTGGAAGATGTATACTTTCTGTTAAGTCTTGAATAGAGGCTTTTAAAGAACCTAATCTGTTAAACAGGCTTCCCAGGTGGCACCAGTGGTAAGGAGCCTGCCTGCCAGTGCAGGAGACTTAAGAGACTTGGGCTTGATCCCTGGGTCAGGAAGGTCCCCCGGAGGAGGACACGACAACCCACTCCAGTATTCTTGCCTGGAGAATCTCATGGACAGAGGAGTCCGGTGGGCTACAGTCCACAGGGTTGCAGAGTTGGACACGATTCAAACGACTTAGCACAGCACAGCATAATCTTTTAGACAGTATAACGTGTGATTTTGATCAGAAGTTGATAGATGTTTTTCATTTCAAAGCTTTAGTTGATTTTGGGAGTTGGAAGTCTCCTCCTTGAAAAGCTGTTCAAGTTATGTTTAGTATAATTTCAAACGTGGTTGAGAATATAGTGAGTGAGTTTTGGGACAAACTCCTAGCTCATCCTGGAAGACATACCAGGAGAAAGATAGGAATCTCTGTACTGTTTGCTACCTGACCTTCAACTTCTTAGGATCTTAGAAATTGAGAATGAGGGGTTTTTGTGTAGATCTTGTTTTTAAGTTATTTTGGTATAGTTTCCTACAGTTGGGAATACAGATAATGAAACCCCTCATGTTTTGTAATTCATGTGTCAGTTTGATTTTAAGATTGTTACATTCTGCTGAGTCATATGAAGTAAAGTGAGTCCTCCCTTCACCGCCCCCCTCCCGCCCTACCCCAATATCAGTGACATAACATAACACAGTTTAAAAATATGTCACAGTGTCTATGTGTGGGTTAGTCCTAACTTCAAAGCTGTCTCTGTCCGTAGAACATTTAGTCTAATGATGCTGTGATGTGTTGGAAGACTTCTGCAGACAGCGGAACACAGTGTTGTAAAAGCCGGGTTCCATAGTTAGTTTAGAAGATGAGGTTATTATCTTGATATTTTTCTTGGGCGGGGGGTTTGTTTTTCCTCCACTACCTGACTGTGTAACTTGTCTATAGCTCACCTGTCAAGGGCAGGGCAGGTCTGGATGAGAACCTTCAGGCAGAACCAACCCATAATTTGTGTAAAATGAGGAGGCAGGACCCCTTATTCAAGAGTGAAGAATGTGAAGGCAGGCACGGGAGAGCATTAAGTCCCGCGCACAGCCGTCTGCATGTGGGCCGGGTGACCGCTCAGGCTACGTGCCTGAGGAACCGCTGGCCCGCCGGGTCTGGGCGAGGTGTGGGGACATGTCAGCCTCTCCTGGGGATTCCAGAGGGACCGTCCCTGCGTGGCCCGCTGATGTGGACCCCCGGGGTCCGGGGGCTAACCTTGTTGCCGTGTAGGCACTAAGCAATGTCTGACTCTCTTGCGACCCCACGGACTACCTTACATACACCAGGATAGTTTGAGAGAGTCAGGATTGCAGTGGGAATGAACAGTACTCGGACATGAACTCTTGTAAGCAAAACTTGAAGACAGGCTGCCGGTTGAAATGGTTCACCTGGCTTATAGCCTTAGTTTGCTTAGAACTTAGCGCACATGGTTGGTAAGCTTAATTTCCCACAAAGAGATGGGCAGAGAAGAAGTCACTGAGAAGCCTTTTCCCGTGTCCCGGAGCGTCAGGCTCATCCTCAGTAAGCTGCCGAGTGGTCCCCATGCCTGTGAGTCCTCCCCCACCTTCTGTGCGGGCTCCTTCCGGCCGCTCTGCCTCCGCCTCACCTACACGTGGAGACGCCCGGCCCGGAGCCTCTGCGCTTGTGCTTCTGGCTCATTCGTTCCCCTTCAGCAGGCCCAGCGCCCCGGACATGCATGCCGGTCTGTCCATCTCACCTGCGGTGCCTCAGGAAGGTACCGTGTCCTTGGACGTTTGTCCCATCCCCTGATGAGGCCAGCCTGAAGGGGACGTGTTGGCTGTTTAAGACCACATGACACCTTATCTTCGACAAAGGAGGCAAGGATATACAATGGAAAGAAGACAACCTCTTTAACAAGTGGTGCTGGGAAAACTGGTCAACCACGCATAAAAGAATGAAACTAGAACACTTTCTAACACCATACACAAAAATAAACTCAAAATGGATTAAAGATATAAATGTAAGACCAGAAACTATAAAACTCCTAGAGGAAAACATAGGCAAAACACTCTCTGACATAAATCACAGCAGGATCCTCTATGAACCACCTCCCACAATATTGGAAATAAAAGCAAAAATAAACAAATGGGACCTAATGAAACTTAAAAGCTTTTGCACAACAATGGAAGCTATAAGCAAGGTGAAAAGACAGCCCTCAGATTGGGAGAAAATAATAGCAAACGAAGCAACAGACAAAGGATTAATCTCAAAAATATACAAGCAACTCCTGCAGCTCAATTCTAGAAACATAAATGACCCAATCAAAAAATGGGCCAAAGAACTAAACAGACATTTCTCCAAGGAAGACATACAGATGGCTAACAAACACATGAAAAGATGCTCAACATCACTCATTATCAGAGAAATGCAAATCAAAACCTCAATGAGGTACCATTACACGCCAGTCAGGATGGCTGCTATCCAAAAGTCTACAAGCAGTAAATGCTGGAGAGGGTGTGGAGAAAAGGGAACCCTCTTACACTGTTGGTGGGAATGCACACTAGTACAGCCACTATGGAGAACAGTGTGGAGATTCCTTAAAAAACTGAAAATAGAACTGCCATATGACCCAGCAATCCCACTCCTGGGCATACACACCGAGGAAACCAGATCTGAAAGAGACACGTGCACCCCAATGTTCATCACAGCACTGTTTATAATAGCCAGGACATGGAAGCAACCTAGATGCCCATCAACAGACGAATGGATAAGGAAGCTGTGGTACATATACACCATGGAATATTACTCAGCTATTAAAAAGAATTCATTTGAATCAGTTCTAATGAGATGGATGAAACTGGAGCCCGTTATACAGAGTGAAGTAAGCCAGAAAGATAAAGACCAATACAGTATACTTACGCATATATATGGAATTTAAAAAGATGGTAACGATAACCCTATATGCAAAACAGAAAAAGAGACACAGATGTACAGAACAGACTTTTGGACTCTGTGGGAGAAGGCGAGGCTGGGATGTTCAGAGAGAACAGCATTGAAACAAGCATACTATCAAGGGTGAAACAGATCACCAGTCCAGGTTGGCTGCATGAGACAAGTGCTCAGGGCTGGTGCACTGGGAAGACCCAGAGGGATGGGATGGCGAGGGAGGCGGGAGGGGGGACCGGGATGGGAACACATGTAAATCCATGGCTGATTCATGTCAATGTATGGCAAAAACCACTACGATATTTTAAAGTAATTAGTAAAGTAAATTGTAAAGTAATTCTTCCCGACCCAGGGATTGAACCTGAGTTTCCTATATCTCCTGCATTGGCAGGCGAATTCTTTACCACTAGTGCCATCTGGCTGTCTGTCTATTAATCTTTATTTCTGGGTAAAACTTGCTGTGAACAGTGTTTTCTCTCCCCTCCTCTGAGCTAAGCCTGATCTGCCAGTTTTATAAATATTCTGATATATTTGAATTCCTGCTTAGACTGAATCCTCTTCCCCCCAATGTAGTAATATATTTATTATGAGACTTAAGACTTATCGGTTTGGAAATGTGTTTTTTTTTTTTTAAACCAAAGCATGCAAGGAAAGGAAATACAGCAATTGGTGTTTTATAAGTATTAAAGATACTAGACTATCTCATAGGTTATTGTGAGGATTAAAGCACTGTAAACTGATTTCAAAGCCTGGTGTGCTGTGGTTCAATGGGCTGCAAAGAGTTGGAAATGACTCGGAACTGAACAACCAAAATCACAGTGTAACCCCTCTCATGTGACCTAGTAACAGTTATAGTCTAACATTATTATTATTTGATGATCTCTTCCTATACACCTGGAATTTAGAACCAGAAATTGCTAGATTCTAGTCACTATTCTGATATTGTTGTTTAGTTGCTAATTTGCGTCCAGCTCTTTTGCAACCCCATGGACTGTAGCCCACCTGGCTCCTCTGTCCATGGGATTTCCAAGGCTAGAGTATTGGAGTGGGGTGCCACTTCCTTCTCCAGGGGATCTTCCTGACCCAGGAGTCGAACCCACCTCTCCTGCATTGGCAGGTGGGTTCTTTCCCATTGAACCTTCAGGGAAGCCCAGCCATTCTATTATTTGGGCTCTGGTTTTTAAAAATGTAATTTTTGCCCTCATTAATAATTTACCTAAAATGGTACATTAAAAATATAGCTAAACTTTCCCCTTCCAGGTGCAGAGTCACAAGCCTCTGAGGCAGGAGGGCAGTGAGCGGGGGGGGGGGTACAGAGGTAGAATGCAGAGGAGGGGGCTAGAAGATTGAGAAGATTGGTTACATCAGGTGGATATGTTTGTTGAGCAAATAAGTAAATGTATTGGGAATAATGAGAGCCAGGTTTCTTATTGTCTGAGAAGAAATGTGCAGAGATGGAAAGGGGGCTTCCCAGTAGTAAAGAATCTGCCTGCCAATGTAGGAGATGCCAGAGACGTGAGTTCGGTTCCTGGGTCAGGAAGATCCCCTGGAGTAGGAATTGACAACCTACTCCAATATTCTTGCCTGCAGAATCCCCATGGACAGAGGAGCCTGGCGGGCTACAGTCCATGGGGTCACAAAGAGTTGGACGTGACTGAGCATAGCACACAGGAAAATGAAACAGGAGTCAGCTAGAAGGGGCCCCTGCCGGTCAGATCTAGGACAGTTTGAGCACTAACTTAAGTAATGAGAGTTTTGGATGTAACTCGTGAGGTTAATAGCAGTGTGTGTGCGTGCACACACGTGTGTGCTAGCATTTGTATATATATAGCATGCAATATACGTGTGCCTGTGTATAAATATTAGACGCACAGAGTTGGGAAGAAGTGAGAGATGGGGAGAATTTCTGTAAAGGGACAAAGAAGGTGACTAAAATTAGGGTATAATTAGCTTTAAGATACGGACAGCAAGTCCCAGAACATAAGAAATGGGAGGGCAAGGGATGGCCATCAGCAAATGAGTCCCACCCTCTCTGCATCCCCGTACGTTTTTAGAGTACATAAATGAATGAAAAACAACCTCTCAGCTTGTGTTTAAAATAAGCCTCTGTGGTTAAGTTTCCCCTTTACAATCTTCATTTATAAGACTTTCCGGCCCCCTCTAAAAATGGACCATTCTATCATTTTTTTTGCATTTAGAACCCTTGGTAACCCCTTTCATTGTAGGGAGGAGAGAGGAGGAATTTCAATAATAATTTTTCATCTCAGCTCCTCCACAGTTTCACATCAGCAGTTTTTCGGTGTTAATACAATTATTTTTGAGTGCAGATGAAAGAAATGTCCGGAAACTTGGTGGTGCTGACTCGTCAGGTTTGCCCGGGTGATTTTGTCGCTTCACCTTCCATGTCCGTTTGCAGTCTAGCCGTTTGACAGAGATATTGACATCCCGTCTCCAGGGCTTCAGAAATGTGATTTGTCTCTTTAGATATCAAAGACATTATTCGTAGGTGAGATTCCGCCCCCCCCCTTCTTTATTCTGTGAAGAAATGTCATTTTCAAGTGCAATTACCACGGCCTGGGAAAAATGACACTGAGTTTTAGTAATTTGCAAAGTAGAATTAAGTTTTTCAGATTCTGAATACTTAAGATATATTGCTGGTAATGAGTCAGATTGATTGTTGCAAAGAAAAGACTTCCTTTTATGGACTATATACATTTTTTTAAACCTAAGATTTAATAATATTGTGAGACATGCAGGCATGAATTCTTATGTTGAATAATGGAATTATTCTTGGTGTTAGAAATCTTCAAAATAAATAACCTCTAGTTACCTTTGTTTCTATATGTCTATTAACTTCTTAACCACTAATTTGTTTCTTTGCACAATAGTTTCAACAAAGAAGAGACAATGGAAAGAATGGACGTGTTTTGAGAAATTGGTAGAAAAATGCTGCAAATTTAATTATAGCTATCCAGAGACTTGAAAATGTACTTAAAATGACTTAAAAATGAACTTAAAATTTATATGTGTTTTTTAAATCCATTTCAGACACGGAATCGTTTTGAAGGAACAAGGTCAGAAGTGGAAGAACTTATGAACAAGATCAGACAGAATCCCAAGGACCACAAACGAGCAAGTCAGTTCACAGCGGAAGGCTACCTGTATGTACAGGAAAAAAGTAAGAGACTCTCCCGCGGGGGTGAATAACTCATTAAAAATTATTTTAAAACCCTCACTGTAATTACTCTCTGATATTTTGGGAGTAATTTTTCCTACCACTTTCTTTGCTGTCTGAAGGTATAGGTTGCAGTTTTGGGGGGAAAACACATTCCTGCTTTAGGGAAAGGATGTTGAGATTAGGAACTCTCTGAGCACCCTGCTTTCTAGCCACAACCCACTGATTCTCTGTCACACTTTGTTAAAATTTGCTTGCAAGGGAGGAATGACTTGGTAACATCTGAAAGCGAGGTGGGTATTAGCTTTTCCCTCTTTTTTTCTCATCCTCGTCTTTAACACCAACACCCAGCCACCCACATGCTCATATACACCTGCACCCCCTCCCCAGAGCCTGTTCTTCCATGTTGAAGTCAAGAAGTGTGTATGTCTCTCCTGCTTTCACATCAGTTCTTGGATACTTGTCTGAGATCATTTTTTGTCCTTGTTAAAATTATCAGGGCAATTGCATATGACTATGAAAAAAATTCCTAGACGACCTGCTAACGTGTCTCACTGAATTTTCAGCATTGTTTTTGTCTCAGTGAATGTGCAGTGTGTAGAGTATCCTGATTTTGAAATTAAAGCACCCCACCATGCTTTCAGGCTTTTGACAGTTTGGTCTTACTTTAATGATGAGGCTGTTGCAGTTTACCTCTTCAACTGTGCAGCCTGATGGCTGGTTAGCAGAAGCAGTAGTGGGCTTCCCGGGTGGCGCTAGTGGTAAAGAATCCTCCTGCCAGCGCAGGAGATGGGAGAGACTAGGCTTCGATTCTTGGATCAGGAAGATCCCCTGGAGGAGGGCATGGCAGCCCACTCCAGGGTTCTTCCTGGGATAATCTGATGGCCAGCAGAACCTGGCGGGCTACAGCGCATGGGGTTGAAAAGTCAGATATGACTCAGGGACTGAGCATGCAGACGCAGAAGGGGTGGTATGTGAGAGGGTTCCTGTATTTCCTGTTTCTCTCCCCTCCGCCCTTGACTGCAGTTAGGGTGCTTTAGAGTTTTCATTTCATTTGCCAAGTGGGACTCTTGCAACCAGTTTTCAAACTGACCGGTTTTGTAGCAGAGAGACTCATGGAACAGCCACGTGATCCGGGTGATCATGTTACAGGCAGTGGGCAGAGTGGCGCTTCTTTTTCCGTTTGCCCTTCTTTAATGTGGGCTTAGTCTTAATGCCTCATCAAGGACGGTTACTGGCATGGCAGAACTGTAAATTTGTCTAATTTTTTTTTAGTCTCCCCCCCTCCCCCAGCCAAAAAAAGAAACTGAGAGGCAATTTATTTTTACAAATTTTGGTTGAATGGCAAAATCATGTCATTTCTAAAGGTGCTATTAGGAAAAACAGCTATTGAACTGTGTATAGAGTGAATATTTCATTAAAAAATTTTTTTACTGGAGTACAGTTGATTTATAATGTATTAATTTCTGCTTTACAGCAAAGTGAGTCAGTTATGCATATATTTGTTTTCTTTTTCATATTCTTTTCCATTGTGATTTATCACAGCACATTGAATATAGTTCCCTGTGCTATACAATGAATGGGACCTTGTTTATCCATTCTGTATATTCAGTTCAGTTGCTCAGTCGTGTCCGACTCTTTGCGACCCCATGAATTTCAGCACACCAGGTCTCCCTGTCCATCACCAACTCCCGGAGTTTACTCAAATTCATGTCCATTGAGTCGGTGATGCCATCCAGCCATCTCATCCTCTGTCGTCCCCTTCTCCTCCTGCCCCCAGTCCCTCCCAGCATCGGGGTCTTTTCCAGTGAGTCAGCTCTTTGCATGAGGTGGCCAAAGTATTGGAGTTTCAGCCTCAGCATCAGTCCTTCCAATGAACACCCAGGACTGATCTCCTTTAGGAGGGACTGGTTGGATCTCCTTGCAGTCCAAGGGACTCTCAAGAGTCTTGTCCAACACCACAGTTCAAAAGCATCAATTTTTCAGTGCTCAGCTTTCTTCACAGTCCACCTCTCACATCCATACGTGTGTATTACTAGTTTGCTAATCCCAAGTTCTCAATCCTTTCCTCCCCCTCTAATATTTTAGATCTTCTTAACAGTCAAGTGAAAAAAATCACAAGAAGCTTTTTTAGACTTATAATTGCTGGATAACTTACTGACTTTGAGAGAGATGGGGCTGAAATTGGACTGAAAAAAACACAGTGACAGAATTCTTCACTTATTAACTGTATGCCAGGCACTGTGCTAAACTCTTTATCCATCTTGTTTTATTTAGTGCATTAAAAAAGCCCTATGAATTGTAAGGTGCTGTTATCACCCCATTTACCAATGAGAACACAGACGCGCCGAGGGTTAACAATGCTCCTTCGGTCCTGCGCCTCCTCAAGGCTGGAACTTTCTGAGCCTGGAGTCTGTGCTGGGCTTCCCTGGTGGCTCAGATGGCAAAGAATCCGCCGGCAGTGCGGGAGACCTGGGTTGGGAAGATGCCCTGGAGGAGGGAACGGCTACCCCTCCAGTATTCTGGCCTGGAGAATCCCATGGGCAGAGGAGCCTGGCGGGCTGTCGTTCATGGGGTCGCCAAGAGTTGGACACGACCGAGCGACTTTCACACACGCACACACACACACACACACACTCGTATGCACACACACACACACATGAACACACACACAGAGTCTGTTGCACCCTCTCTGTCATATTGCCTGAAGCTTGGACAGTGTGAGAAGCCGTCGCTAATCTCTGTGCTTAGGGCTGGTTGAGTGGGGTCTGGTGGAGTCAGGAGGGAATGGCAGCTTAATTAGTGAAGCACCATGATATCTGGGCAAGAGATTCTGAGGTTTGGCTTTGCCATTTTGCAGGCATTTAGTCTAAGCCTGAGATTTTTTAGATTAAAAAGACAGTAATATAATTATCCTCTCTTGAGGTATTTTTCTTGACGTTGAATGAAATACCTATGCAGTATTTTTATGAACCGTAGAACAGAGTACGTATGCTTGCTATTGATAACACACACACACTCATACCAGGGGTTCACAAACTCTGGGCCAGCCCTAAAGATGGTTTGAGATGAGATTTATTGTGGTCTAGTGACCCGTTTCATCTCCCCTTCACCCAAGGTGATGTAATTCAGTTTTCCTAAAGCTAAATGCATTTCTTTTAATTGAGTCCTTCTCCCTGCTCCTAAGTTTGTCCTCTTTGATTTTTAGGTATAAAAATCTATATATTTTAAGCTTTATTTGTTTTCAGATGTGATGATGTTGATAGTAAGTATTGACTTTTTAAAATTTTAATGTCCTTTCTTGACTAAAGTAAAAATTATCAAACTGAATGGGACCTCACTTTTCCTTTGCTGTGATGGGACCATTCTAGGTCTCCCGACTTGGGACCATTTTCTCTTAAGACATCTGATGGTTGTAATTCTGACTAAGCAATAGGTAAAAAGTGGTTCCAGAGATGTTCTGGTGCATATGTGGACAACTCCCTCTTATGTTCTTCATACTTCATTTAAATTTATGTTTACTTTTGTCTGCTCGGGGTCTTTGTTGCTGCGAGTGGGCTTTCTCTAATTATGGTGAGTGCGGGCTCCTGTTTAGTTGTGGTACACAGGCTTCTGTTACAGCACGTGGCATTACAGCACATTGCTCTGAGGCATGTGGGATCTTTGTTCCCGGACCAGGGATCAAACTCTTGTCCCCTGCAATTAGCGGGCAGATTCTTAACCGATGGACCATCAGGGAGGTCTCATACTTCATTTTAAAGTTTAACTTTGACATCGTTAGTAAGGATAGCTGCTTACAAGGTGCTTTAGTGGGCTTAAAACACGAGATAGATTTATAGTCTACGTGCTTTTCTGCACTATGATTCTACAACTCTATTATTTTGAGAGGCCAGAATTGAATCCAAAACCATCACATATATCTGGTGGAATTCTTGAAATTCTCATGAGCTATTCATACATAGACACAAACAAAAAACATAGTTTAACATTAGGAGATTTTCATGTATGAGATAACAGTCTAGCAGATTATATGAAAAATATGTCTTTAAATTATGTATTTGTTGCTGAGAACTGTTAGGACCTTTTCTCAAACTGTCACTATGCGCCCTCTTATTTCCCCTAGTTTTCCCCTTGTCTTAGATAAGCTGTGCTGATTTGTTACCTTGAGCTGTATTAGTTGCCATTTCTTGGGTTTTTTCTCTTTAGCAATATAGAATTCTGCATATCTGTTTATAAGGAAACGTGTAAAGTTCTGTTTCTTGTTGAAGGGCCTCCTCCATTCGGTTCCAGCTGGGTCAAACACTACTGCATGTATCGGAAAGCGGCCAAGAAGTTCACCATGATCCCGTTTGAGCACAGATCCGGGGGGAAGCTTGTAAGTGTTTGCTTTTTATACTTTGTACTGTCTGTGAGGTGGTCTTCGAGGGCGTCAATTTAATGGTGTTTCCATTCCCTAATGATAAATACCTTCTGTTTTGTTTTTAGAATGAAAAAAATTGTCTTTTTTTCCTAAATAAAATTGGCCAGAAAATAATTCCCATGTTTTCTGAATTGCTGGCATGTGTTTTTTAAAACATATTTTAAAAATATGTATTTATTTGGCTGCACCAGGTCTTAGTCCTGGCATGCGGATCTCTTACATGTGGCTTTGTGGGCTTCAGTTCCCTGACCAGGGGTTGAACCCAGGCCCCCTGCCTTGGAAACGTGGAGTCTTAGCTACTGGACATTCTATTGGCACGGATTTTTATTGTCAGAATTTTTTTTTTTTAAGAATTATTTGATGTCCCTGTTACTGGAAGATACAGTAACTACCTTCAGCATGCTTTCCTGACTCTGGGCTGACTGCTTAGGATTTATGGGGAAGGCCTGGTGTGTCCACATGGTGGTGCTGGTTTAGATGCTAGGTCGTGTCCGACTCTTGCTATCCCCGCCATGGGGGATAGCCCTCAGGCCCCTCTGTCCACGGGATTTCCCAGGCAAGAATGCTGGAGTGGGTTGTCATTTTCCTCCTCCAGGGGAATCTTCCCCACCCAGTGATTGAACCCACGTCTCTCATGGAGTCTTTTTTGACTGAGCCAAGTGCACACATAAATTCACATAAATGAAAAGATTACAGAGTAGATGATCTGTAATGAAGTTTTCTGCTTTTCATTCAGACTTTAACCTTCTCACTTAGACACTCACCATTTAGTTTACACCTCCTATAGAAATAAACACCACAGCAACTCGTGATACAGGAAATGTATGCGAGAAGCCCACAGGAGCTGTCTGGGTGGAAAAGGTGGTCTTTGTTTTAAAGCAGAAGCTGTAGCTCTTAGCAACAATAATAGTCAACACAGAGCTCCTCTCACTAACATTGACTGTAACTGGTGACACATTTTAAGGTTAATTCATTGCTTGCTGGGTGGATGGGCATAATTTTGCTCTTGTGAATACAGAATTAACCCAAGTTCACTTCTGTTTACACATACTTTGCATCTTCCTGAAAACTATTTAAAGCTGCTTGTAATAGAAACACATTTTTGTGATATCGAAATAGACATGTAAAATCGTGGCCATGGTAAAGAAGAGGAAGCGAGGATGTCACCCCTGGAGGGGGATGGGTTTTTTGGTTATTGTGTGCTTTTTTCTTTCTTTTTTAAAGATCACAGTCATTTATTTTTGTCAAATGTAACTAAAGTTTAATGTATACAATCAGGAATAATCTGTTAAGAACATATCAGACGCAGAGAAGGCAAAATTTGTTGGTAAGTGAAGCATCAAATCTAATAAAAGAGCAAACTCCAGGAATGATCAGCAACTGTGCAGAACTCATCAACCAAATGCTCGTGATTACTTTATACCTCTGAGGACCACTGATACGATCAGAAGTTGTAGTGAAAGGATGAATATGGATTAACTTGTGTATCTCTGTACACTTTTTCCAGCTTTTAAAAATTTTATATTTAGTGGGAGGATAATTGCTTTACAGTGTTGGTTTCTGCCATACATCCACATGAATCAGCCATAGGTGTGCATACGAACCGTCCCTCTTGAACACCCCCTCCCCTCCCCATTCTCTTTAATGACAAAGTAAGCATGAGGTTGGCGTGCGAGTTTCCTATCAGAGCCGATCAAGTCCCCAACACATCTGCTTAGTGGTGGCTTTCTGTTTTAGCTCCAAATGATAAATGCATTAAAAATATGATGACTGTGACATTTTGAATGTTTTTAACATCTGAATGCTGGTTTAATATTAGAGATCGTCACATTCCAGAAAATACTAAAATATTGCAGAAGTGTTTCTCAGACTCCTTACAGTTTCTTACTGAGAACCTGTTTTTGCATTGCTTCTGTCTCCTGTTTTCTGCTGCTTTTTAAAGCTCTTAAAGAGCTTTATCTGGGATAAAATGGTACCATATTTAACTGAACACTCAGTAAAGGTAAATTCAGGATGATTTACTGAGGAAGCAGCAAAACACATAGATGTGTTGTGAAGATCCCCGGGAGAAGGAAATGGCAACCCACTCCAGTATTCTTGCCAAGCATGATCCCATGGACAGAGGAGCCTAGTGGGCAAAGACTTGGGCACAGCTGAGCACACACACACATAGATGGAATGGTTCTAGCTTTAGGTGATCACAATGGCTGATCCAAGGTCCTTCGTGTACTTTTATGTAGATTCCTATGGAATTGAAGTTTTTGTAGGTTAGAAATGGTTACCTGTGGGCTGTTTCATGTGGTATAATGTAATGTGAAATGCAAACACATGATCTTCTTTTTTTTTAACAAGAGGGCAATAAGAATAACAAATATAGATATGTGGAAACTATATTGTTAATCCACCTTTTAAAATTAGCACTCAAAAGGTCTGGTTTAATGTTACTGTAATGGAAGCAGGGTCTAAAAAATCTTAAGAAAAGATGAGTGACAGAAATGGCGACAGTTCTAAATAAACTGGTTCAAAAGAGAATAGAATAGAGGAACCTAAAATCTGAACCTTGCCTCCTTCCCCCACATCAAGTATAGGATACTTAACTCTGTGTATGTTTATACTGTAGTGTCTGAAAATGCTTAAAATGATTCTCTGCAGGGGGATGGAGAGGTCTTCTTTTTGAAAGAATGTACCAGGAGACATACTGACTCCATTGACAGAAGGTTTTGCTTTGACGTGGAAGCTGCTGACCGGTAAGTTATTGGAATTATTGGACTTCATGGAAAGAATCATTTAAGAAAATGATTTAAAAAATAGTTAATTGCAACTTGGATTTCTGTGGCCTGGGAGACTGTTATCTTTCTATATTTCCAAGCTGTGTATTCACTGTGGGCTGTTCTGTGTTGGTTACTGCGTTTCGCTGTGGAATGATAGCTTAGTCTTGGCTGAAGTCTGCAGTCACTTTACCGGTATTGTCACTTAAACAATGACCTTGGGGTGTTTCATTGTTGATCCAAGCCTCCTTTTCTGGCACTAAAAGTGTAAGGTGGGAAGATGAGGAAGTAGGTGATAGAGCTAAAAAGAGGTGGTTGTGGCTGTTCATACACAGTAGTAGTCATTTTTCCTGTGTGGGAATTTTCCATGTATATATGGAAAGGTAATAGAAGGTCACAGGCAAGCTCTGTTTATTCCAAGATGAGTTATCTTTTTTCCTTGTGATATGACTTTTAGTTATTTAGTTAGAAAAGAGTCTTAGCTGGAGGGAAAGAAATAAAAAAAAGAAAAACAAAGCTCATTTGTTAGTATTACTACCTGTCTGGCATTTATTTCTGTGTCCTTCCATAGTACTAAGGAAAATCATGGTGCTCATAGAATATTTCTTTTTAATGACTGATGGTATGAAGGTTTCTTGCCAGCCCTAGTTTTGGGCAACAATGGTCTTTAGATAATGATGTTTCATATTTCTATAATAAAAGTTTACAGTATGAGATTTTTTAAACACAAGTTCGTTTCAGATCAGGACCCAAGAATACAAAAATAATTAATGTTTCCTCTTCCGTCAGATGATATAACTGAGTCTGTGGGGTTCATTCAATAAATGCATTGAAGACCAGGGACATAAAAATGTGTGCTTATGCACCATGGTAATATGGAAATGCAATGAAAAGGACAAATGGTTTAATAAGGCTTTGGCCAAGACTGTAAAAAAAAAAGAGAATGTCATTGTAAAAGAGGTTAAATTTCAAGCCAGTAAGGATAAGTTCACAGACTTTAAGACAAGATTTGGGCTGTATAAGACAACTTGAGTGTAAATATGTTTTCTGTACATATTTGGGTTCATGTTTGCTGTACATATTTGGGTACATGTATACTGTACATATTTGGGTACATGTTTGCTGTACATATTTGGGTACATGTATGCTGTACATATTTGGGTACATGTTTGCTGTACATGTTTGCGTGTACGAAGTACACCCATTGTAAGCATTGACTGAGTTTTCTCTAAGTACCAGACAGTGTTCTAAATTCTTCTCTTCTTTACCTCATTTTATGCTCAGCCCAGCTCTGTCAGGTAGACATTATGCTTCTCATTTTATGATGAAAAATGGAGCCTTATGTGGTTCTCCTAAGGTCATGTAGCTAGTAGGTGGAAGAGCTGAGATTTGAACTGTTGCGTTTGCCTCTGGAGCCCAGGCTCTTAACTGCTCTGCCGCAGGCATCAGAGTATAACTGTGTAAGTGTGTTGTCTTTGAAATAGTTGACAGAGGTGAGTCAGCAGTGATGTCTTATTAGAAAATGTGTCAAATGAGGTTAATCTGCATTTCTTTGAAAAGGTAATTCTAGTACTTCCATTTACTGTTTTAATGTGATTTGTATTTTTCCCAGTCCTGTGTTTTCTCTAAGACCTTGATCATGCCAAATGCTCTTCTTCATTGAGATCCTTGTTATGATGATAGCTATTGAATTGACCAAAAAGTTTGTTTGGGTTTTTCTGCAAGATGTTATGGAAAAACCCGAACAAACTTTTTGACCAACCCAGTAATTTGCACCCCTCATAAAGGTTGATGAGTGGTTACTGTAGTTACCGTCATATTGATGGTGTCTTGTATGGAGACCCTCAGGACTGGGGAAGACATTAGAGGCGATCTGTTTTAAAGCAGAGACATTACTTTGTCAACAAAGGTCCATCTAGTCAAGGCTATGGTTTTTCCAGTAGTCATGTGTGGATGTGAGAGCTGGACTATAAAGAAAGCTGAGTGCAGAATAATTGATGCTTTTGAGCTGTGGTGTTGAAAAAGACCCTTGAGAGTCCCTTGGACTGCATGGAGATCCAACCAGTCCATCCTAAAGGAGATCAGTCCTGGGTGTTCATTGGAAGGACTGATGTTGAAGCTGAAACTCCAGTACTTTGGTCACCTGATGTGATGAGCTGACTCATTTGAAAAGACCCTGATGCTGGGAGGGATTGGGGGCAGGAGGAGAAGGGGGCAACAGAGGATGAGATGGTTAGATGGCATCACCGACTCAATGGACATGAGTTTGGGTAAACTCCGAGAGTTGGTGATGGACAGGGAGGCCTGTCGTGCTGCGGTTCATGGGGTCGCAAAGAGTCGGACACGACTGAGCGACTGAACTGAACTGATTTTAGTGGTTATCAAATTGCTCTATAGGGATGTCTTCTTTTCAAATAAAAACTTTACACTTAGGTGTGTATAAATCAGAAAAAAAGAGAGTTCTCTTATTAAAGTGAGGTAGGTGAATGGTATTGTTTCCTTAATTTCTCTTTCTGTTTTCTCATTGTTAGTGTATAGGAATGCAAGAGATTTCTGTGTGTTAATTTTATATCCTGCAACTTTACTGTATTCGTTGATTAGCTCTAGTAATTTTCTGGTAGAGTCTTTAGGGTTTTCTATGTAGAGGATCATGTCATCTGCAAACAGAGAGAGTTTCACTTCTTTTCCTATCTGGATTCCTTTTACTTCTTTTTCTGCCCTGATTGCTGTGGCCAACACTTCCAAAACTATGTTGAATAGGAGTGGTGAGAGTGGGCACCCTTGTCTTGTTCCTGATTTTAGGGGAAATGCTTTCAATTTTTCACCATTGAGGGTAATGCTTGCTGTGGGTTTGTCATATATAGCTTTTATTATGTTGAGGTATGTTCCTTCTCTTCCTGCTTTCTGGAGAGTTTTAATCATAAAAGGATGTTGAATTTTGTCAAAGGCTTTTTCTGCATCTATTGAGATAATCATATGGTTTTTATCTTTCAATTTGTTAATGTGGTGTATCACATTGATTGATTTGCCGATATTAAAGAATCCTTGCATTCCTGGGATAAAGCCCACTTGGTCACGGTGTATGATTTTTTTAATATGTTGTTGGATTCTGTTTGCTAGAATTTTGTTAAGGATTTTTGCATCTATGTTCATCAGTGATATTGGCTTGTAGTTTTCTTTTTTTTGTGGCATCTTTGTGTGGTTTTGGAATTAGGGTGATGGTGGCCTCATAGAATGAGTTTGGAAGTTTACCTTCTTCTGCAATTTTCTGGAAGAGTTTGAGTAAGATAGGTGTTAGCTCTTCTCTAAATTTTTGGTAGAATTCAGCTGTGAAGCCATCTGGTCCTGGGCTTTTGTTTGCTGGAAGATTTCTGATTACAGTTTTGATTTCCTTGCTTGTGATGGGTTTGTTAAGATCTTCTATTTCTTCCTGGTTCAGTTTTGGAAAGTTATACTTAGCTCTAAGAATTTGTCCATTTCTTCCAAGTTGTCCATTTTATTGGCATAGAGCTGCTGGTAGTAGTCTCTTATGATCCTTTGTATTTCAGTGTTGTCTGTTGTGATCTCTCCATTTTCGTTTCTAATTTTGTTAATTTGGTTCTTCTCCCTTTGTTTCTTAATGAGTCTTGCTAATGGTTTGTCAATTTTGTTAATTTTTTCAAAAAACCAGCTTTTAGCTTTGTTGATTTTTGCCATGGTCTCTTTTGTTTCTTTTGCATTTATTTTTGCCCTAATTTTAAAGATTTCTTTCCTTCTACTAACCCTGGGGTTCTTCATTTCTTCCTTCTCTAGTTGCTTTAGGTGTAGAGCTAGGTTATTTATTTGACTTTTTTCTTGTTTCTTGAGGTAGGCCTGTAATGCTATGAATCTTCCCCTTAGCACTGCTTTTACAGTGTCCCATAGGTTTTGGGTTGTTGTGTTTTCATTTTCATTCATTTCTATGCATATTTTGATTTCTTTTTTGATTTCTTCTATGATTTATTGGTTATTCAGAAGCGTGTTGTTTAGCCTCCATATGTTTGAATTTTACTTAGGAGTATATCTACCTAAAGAAACAAAAGACCTATACATAGAAAACTATAAAACACTGATGAAAGAAATCAAAGAGAACACAAACAGATGGAGAAATATACTGTGTTCATGGATTGGACGAATCAATATTGTCAAAATGGCTATACTACCCAAAGCAATCTATAGATTCAATGCAATCCCTATCAAGCTACCAACGGTATTTTTCACAGAACTAGAACAAATAATTTCACAATTTGTATGGAAATACAAAAAACCTTGAATAGCCAAAGTAACCTTGAGAAAGAAGAATGGAATTGGAGGAATCAACCTGCCTGACTTCAGACTATACTACAAAGCCACAGTCATCAAGACAGTATGGTATTGGCACAAAGACAGAAATATAGATCAATGGAACAGAATAGAAAGCCCAGAGATAAATCCACATACCTGTGGTCACCTTATCTTTGACAAAGGAGGCAAGGATATACAATGGAAAAAAGACAACCTCTTTAACAAGTGGTGTTGGGAAAACTGGTCAACCACTTGTAAAAGAATGAAACTGGAACACTTTCTAACACCGTACACAAAAATAAACTCAAAATGGATTAAAGATCTAAATGTAAGACCAGAAACTATAAAACTCCTAGAGGAGAACATAGGCAAAACACTCTCTGACATAAATCACAGCAGGATCCTCTATGACCCACATCCCAGAATTTTAGAAACAAAAGCAAAAATAAACAAATGGGACCTAATGAAACTTAAAAGCTTTTGCACAACAAAGGAAACTATAAGCAAGGTGAAAAGACAGCCCTCAGATTGGGAGAAAATAATAGCAAACGAAGCAACAGACAAAGGATTAATCTCAAAAATATACAAGCAACTCCTCCAGCTCAACTCCAGAAAAATAAATGACCCAATCAAAAAATGGGCCAACGAACTAAACAGACATTTCTCCAAGGAAGACA